CGCGAAGCACCTTTCGGTAGGCCGATCGGAATGCAATTGCGCCGCCCTAATTGCAGACGTGCTCCTCGCGCGTGTGCCGGCAGAGCTCGCACTTCACGTTGCAGCACCAGACGAACCGGCAGCCGCACTTCTCGGTCACGTCGCGGACTCTGGTCTGGTACCCCCGGCCGCAGCAGAGGAGCCGGCATCCGTCCAGCCCGGGGGACGTCCGGTTGCATATCCTTCCTCTCGTACCTGGGATACCGAGCCTGCAAACCGGCCGTTTCGGAACAGTTACGGGGGTGAAGTGGAATTGGCAACGACGACAGTATTAACACGTTAAGCGCCGTGTCAGCCACTGACTGACGCTTCTGAATGACTAAAAGACAATCGTAACGTACGAGACAACCGATGTGAGATAAAAATGTTTAATAAGGCAACTGATAATAGTAACGCAAACGTTGCAACAATTCATAAGTATTCCTACTTTTCTTTGCAAAAGACAAACTCTATGGGAAAACGCTTAAGATCTTCGTGGCTTAACGTGTTAACCCTTCGCGGACGAACGTCGACGTTTCGAGATGAAATGTTCACGTTTGGAAGACCGAGTCGCAGACGAATGATTCAAGTGGAAATTTTATTTAAAGATAATTCAATGATAATAGCAAAATAGTTTGCTTTGATCCGTGGGTAACGAATAACATCGATTGTTGTTAAATCAGTCTAGAAATCTTCATCACGAGTCTCACTCGTGAAGACCTTCAACATGATTCAACAAATATATATATTACTCAGTTTATTCGAATTCAAAGTAAACATTGTTCCTCAGTAATCAACTATTATACTTAACACATTGACTGCCACGTGTCCCGAATATGGATGACACCATTTTCAACGTAATCTTGAACATTCATTTCCTTAGTGACGTATCGAACTAAGTTTTATTGGATCTATGAGATACAAGAAAAATAGTAAAGTATTCGTTACGAAGAATCTTGACTCTTTAGTTTCTGCTTTATTAAGAAAACTGTTCCGACTGCATAGGTACTTCAATGAGCGTTTACTTGGCAGTCGAAGTGTTAAAAGGAAACATAGGAATAACATCTGCTTCGAATTTTTCTCTTTTTCCACTAAATTATCAACGACAAAGTCGCCGTATCGATCATAGTTCAGAAAGAAATGATAGGTCAAGGGGTTAAATGGTGGTTCTAGTGGTAGTAAACGACGGATGTCTCACGTGATATTTTTCTCGCAGTAGTCCGGACTGTCCTCGAGATAAACAAGGTCGGTCTTGTTCGGCCGTTTCAGATCCGGACGGGCGGGCCTGAGCCGCGCTGGTCTTCTTCCGCCGCGTTGCGCCAGTCGTACCAGTGCTGCGCCTTCGTGCAACGCTGCCAGAGCAGCGCCGGCCACCCTGAACGCCGGCAGTCTTCTCCAGCAGACGCGCACGCTGCACGAACCCGACATACCTACGGCAGTAGAAAATTCCGGTCCGGTCAACACGCGTGAGCCCATCGGACTAGAACAGAAACCTCTAAACCCGAGCAAGATTAACTCGTTCACCTGCGACAATCATCTTTTCTCCTCTCTTTTTCTGTTTCCTCCGTTCGCCCATTACGTCGCCGGCTCGACGGAAAGCTTCTGTTTCGAGACGTGAAACCGGTATCGCGTCGGGCAAGAAACGAAATCGTGTTTCTTAAAATAAATTTACCGAAGAAAAGAGAATCGTCTGTATGAAGCTGGCGTTCGATAAGTGTTAACCCTTTGCACTCGACAGGTGACTCTCAGTCGCCACTTGATTTGACACAGTAAAACTTTGATATTTAATATTAAACTTTGTACAACGCATCGATGTACGAAATATTGAAAGAAAATAGTTTACTATTTATACTCTCCCTCAATGCATCTGAGATTCCTTAATTCAATCTAAGAAACTATTATCTGTATCTCATTGGAAAATATTGAATATTTCCGGTGAAAGCTTGTGGAGTGCGAAGGGTTGAAATCGTGCTTCGAAGAGTCAACCCTCTGCACTCGAAAAGTTTTTCACTAGAAATATTCAATTTTCCTATGACATTTGTTGAACTAATAAGAAAACACGTGAACTAAAAAACCAAGCTCAATATTTCAATATTTATATATTATTATTATTATTTATATATTATTCAATATTTCTGGCACATTGCACAGAACAAAATACAACAGAAAAAATATATTAAATCATTCGATTGAATTGCGCGATAGTTATCGCATCTTCAAGCTTCACCGTATTAGATAACATTATGATAGAAACGTTTACAAATAATCTAATCGAAGTGTATTCCGCTTGAACATTCAACATGCTAATATTCACGAGACTCGTAAATTTTCTCACATCGAATCAGAGAAAATATAGTATTAAATCATTCGATTGAATTGCGCGATAGTTATCGCATCTTAAAACTGAACGTCATATTAGATAACATTATGATAGAAACGTTTACAAATAATCTAATCGAAGTGTATTCCGCTTGAACATTCAACATGTTAATATTCACGAGACTCGTTAACTTTCAAGAATCATCGAGCAAGAGTCACCTCTCGAGTGCAAAGGGTCGGAACAAGGGCCGAACTCGAACCGCGCCGAAAACCGTCGTAGAAATGGCCTGAAAGGATTGAACGGTTCCGTCCTGGTCACCGGTCGGAGAACCAAGGAGCGCGTTTTATCTGTTCGATGCTCGTATCCTTCATGTTTCCGTGGGTGAGCCCGGCGGTGGTGACGTATAGAGGTTCTATAGCGTCCCGTGGGTCCAGGGTGCCCGCGCGTCACGCGAGGGTGACAGGGGATAAGCGAAGACGAGTCGAGTCGTTAAACCGGAGCGGAGTGAAAAATAAGGGGGCAGATAGCGTTAGGAAGATTTCTCGTTATCTGCGGGACGCATTAATGGCTCACCGTGACACTTGCACACGCGTTGCATTCTCGAGCGGACGGCGCGCCTGCCAGCTTCGCTATCGTGCTTCCTCATCAGCTGGCCAGCCAGCCCTTTCGGCCCGTGCAGGACACCGTCTTTCACCGGCTCCTCGCCGCTGTCGGACCACTCCCGCGAAAACTTCTCGCCGAAGTGTATGTCCTGCGCAGAAAAATGTGAACCGATCGTGACACCGCGCGCCGACCGCAGGGGAAAACGTACACCGGGGTCGGGCGCACGGTTCTCACGCTCCCAACGGATAAAGAAAGACCGCAGGCCGCCCAATTTACGGCTGATTTCTACTGCTGCGGAAAAACAAACGGTTAACACTTTACCGGCCGCTGTCCACGTATACGTGACGCCTTTTCGACGGCTGTTATAGGCCCCTGTCGCGTGATTATCATTCCGATGCTTGGATAGGAACATATCGATGCTATTTTTAGGGAAACAATCGCTTCCACTGTTCTCCCTTGGAATTTAGCAGATAGTCTTTTGTTAAAGTCTTCTAACCCTCTATGGGCCGAATTTTTGTTCATTATTACAAAATCTATGCAAAATTAATAATCCACATATGAATACGAATTGACAATGTAGTTAATAGTTTCAATAATTTCATCAAACGAATATATTTTGTAACTTTCAAGATACAATGACAAACTTTCACGCCTGGGAATATAAAAGTTTAAGTGAACTGACTACTTAATTTTATTCACCACTTTCGGTGCAAAATGAAATAAATCAACGAGATGCCAATATACTGATGTGTTACTTCTGTTAGTTCGAAACTGTCTTTTGCCGCCTTCCCGCGTCATACTCGCCGCGCCAACCTAACGGCGATGTAAATGTGCGGCCGGCAAACAAACTGGAATAAAAGGAATTGAAATTGATCCACTAATTTCACGCGTATATACACCGGATAATCGACGATTCGAATAATTCGATATAAACGAGGACGTTAGACTAAAGAAAACACAGAGGCGCGTAGGACGTAGAGGTAATTCAAGAGGACGAAAGGAAAACCGAGCTACGAGGGAAAAAGAATAGAGGAAAAGAAGAGGAGGCAACGAGGAGCAAGCGGGGAGCGTGAGAAAAGACAACAGAGCGACACGTATAGATGTCTTCTGCGGGAGGGCGAGGAGAAGGCAGAGGGGGGAAGGAAAACGGGAAAAGGGAAAACGAGAGGTAGGTGTTCGGGACACGTGCTCGCGGAAGTCACGTGGAAAAGCGTCGGGAAAGTGGCGCGTAACGGCGCGTCGTCGATCCCGGCGACGCGCCGCGCGAGCGGGACCCGCCATTTTTGCGGTTCCCCGGCCGTGTATCCAGTTTCCGGCGGCGACAACCACCGTGTGACTCCTTAACGAGGGTGATCCCCTCGGACAAATGTCTCGGCCGGGTCCGTTGACAGATTCTAGAGATAATGATGTTTGCCGACTCTCTCGTACCGGCCGACCCGGGCAAAGGTTTAACGAATGGGAAGTCCCGTAACGCTCGTCGATAAGTCTACACACGCGGCGCGTCCACCTTTCGCCTGTGACCGATCGCGCCTGACAATAAGACTGATCGTGACGAACGCACCTCTGCGTTCCAACGTTTCAGGAATCGTCGGGGAAAGATGCCCACTGGAAGAGACCTCTTGGATGTTTCCGAACGGAAGCTTGGAATTTCGGGACCTCTGCGATTTCACTGTTTCTGGATTTAAGTTTCATTTGAATCTATTCGATGTTACGGAACTTGTGAATTTGATGGATCAGTCTTTTGAACATTAGTCGATTTTTAATCAATTGAATACGCAGTGACGAACGGACCTCTGCGTTCCAACGTTTCAGGAATCCTCGAGGAAAGATGTCCACTGGAAGAGACCTCCTGGATGTTTCGGAAATTTGGAATTTCGGGACCTCTTCGCGATTTCACTGTTTTTGGATTTAAGTTTCATTTGAATCTATTTGATATTAGATTTACGGAACCTGTGAATTTGATGGATGATTCCTTCGATCATTAGTCGATTTTTAATCAATCGAACACGCAGCGCGATTTTCTGATTTTCAAGCTACAACCGCGATTTATATAGGCGAACGTGTCTTCTAGGGGCAACAGAGTGAAATACAGAAGTAAATCTAGTGTTAACCCTTTGCACTCGACAGTTTTTCACTTGAAATACTCTATACTTTCTAATCAGGCATAGACAAGATTTAAAATGAATTTAACCAGAAACCATACGTAAATTAGGTAACAAAGCTTCTTTCAAATATTCCGCGTATCAATGCAGTGTACAAAGGCTAACGGTGAATACGAAAGTTTACAATTTTTCTGTATCAAATCATCGCCTCTCTAGTGCAAAGGGTTAATATAATCTAGAGTCTGAACTTGTTCCCTTCAACACGGTACCTTTTCAATTCTATTTTCGAATAACCATTTAGTAACGATGACCACAAACTACAAAGAATACGACGGATCGAATTTATGATACTAAGTAGTAAATTCTGTCGACACATCTGGTAAATTCTAGCAGGAAGCGTACAGAAAGAATCGAAGGATTAGGCTGTACCTTCGGAAGATGAATATCTTTACGCGGCTCCCCTCGATTTTCCTCCGCGTCCACCCTTCTTCGTGCTTCTCCTCCGTCCGGGTAGAAACTGTCGTATTTACGTTCGTGTGCATCGCTAACGCGCGAGTTACGTGGCCGATATGTCCGGTGGGCGGCGGGAGAGGGCGGGGGGACAGTGGGTGAAGGGGGCAGGTGGTGGGCGGGAGGTTGTTGCAACTTAACAAGCTTAGCCCCCGTAATCCCCTTGTAAGCTAGCAATGTCTACAAGGGGTCAGCCGTACGCATGAAATGCATCCGTTTACAGGACGAGCTTTGTCTTCGTCCAGGGTTAAGGTTTACGTCGACCGACCGTGGAGAGATCGAGACGACAAATTGGGGATGCCCGTGCCAGGGCAGTGCTTCTCCCCCGGTACGCTTAAGAGGGTAGCGCACGGCACGACACGGGAAAACGTACAGCATCTTTAGAACCGTTGTTTTTTCTCTCTCTCGCTCTCTCTCTCTCTCTCTTGTCGCGTTTGTTCGTTTGGAATGGAAGCAACCTAGAGAGATACTGAAACGCTCAGACTTTCTCTTTTTGTGTTTGAAACGCGTGTACGGAAATGGAAAATAGAATGATTGCGAGCGAGGGTTTATTATAGTTGTTTGTTATACTATGTGGAATTTTTTAACACTAGAACTACCGAGCATTTCACATGCAATCTCTATAGAAATTGTAACAATAGATTATTTTCCTTCGGATACTCATAGTACTCAAGTAAAACTATTTATTTCCAAAATCATTTCAAATATTCGATGCTTTTAAGGTATTAATAACTGCGGAACAAATTGAAACCAGTCAGTTTGACGGGCACGGTAGTTCTAGTCTTAATTGATTCATTTTATCGACGAATGTCGATGAGTGTTCTTTAGATTTTCAGGTTAGGTTTAGTTTAGGGGTTGGAGACTGAGTTTCTATAGATATCCCGTCGGTTTTGATTTTACGGAGGTTGTCTGTTACGAGGGAGTAGATAATTCGAGGGAAAGAGGGAATCAGGCGTACGGTTTTATTATTAACCCTTTAAACTCTGTAGGCTCCAATATTGCACCAGTTATACTATAAAGATTTCAATGAATCTTAAAGAAACCACCCTAAAATTACTACATTCTCGACACATCCAAAGTTTGTACTAAGGAAAATAAAAGATCGAAGAAACGTCATAGCATTTTTTATTTTCACTGAAGATACCATAAAAATTAGTTGCAGTTGCTGATAAATTACGAAACCATCTGGAGTGCAAAGGGTTAATATTTCGAATCCGTTTTCTCGTAGGTGAGATCGTCCAGAACCGAAGGGAAAAAGTGATTGATATTTTTCTTGTTCCTTCTCCTCTCCGTTCCCCGGGGAAAAGAAACACCGTATAAAATTTCAAGCACTCCGTCATAGAGGGTGGACTACCCTCATTATTCCCGTTGCTAATGGACCGATCTAAACTTCTTCCAGCGTGGCTGATACGGTTTAGAGCGGGCCACGATCCACGCGTTTATAGTGGCTCGTTTTTCTTCAAAGTTCCGTGGTCAAGCTCAGCCTCCCAAATGGAACGCTATATTTCCATGATTCGTCTCAGTATTCCCACCGAAAGCGGACAATGCGAAGCGCTGCAGCGTTCTCATTCGAGGAACTCGACGGCGTCTCGTAACCATCCGTTACCCGGCTCCTTTCTCGCCCCTCGGAAAAATCGGAGGACAGATGCTACCCTCCTCGTAACTAATGAAATTTCTAAACGTAGAGATTCGTTCGATACACGACAAACTTCCATAGAATTCTCCAGTAACGGAATTCGTTCGATCCATCCCGATTTCCTTCAATTCGATTTACCAAGGCGTTGGAATATACATCGAAGTCCGCCATTTTGCCGAACTCCATTAACCAACTATAAGCCCATGTAACTTATAGTTACATATCAGTATGACATCTTGCTGATTTATTTCATTTTGCACTCAAAGTGGTGAACAAAATTAACCCTTCGCGGATGAAGATTCTTTGAAATGTGCAAAATCTTCAACGGATGAAGCTAAATTATATATAAATTGCTCAAGTAATAGCAAACACAGAAGCTACATGCTAATCTCTTGCTGTCCGAGTAATCAAATCATTTGCCTGCGACTTCTTCCAAATCTGAACGTTTCGTATCATTAAGTAATCAGTTAACTTCACCTTTTCTACGCTCAGTGAAAGTTTGTCATTATAACTAGAAAGTTACAAAATACATTCGTCTGATGGAATTATCGAAACTATTGAATACATTGTTAATTCATATTCATACGTGGATATTTATTAATTTCGCATAGATTTTGTTATAAGGCCCGTAGAGGGTTAAGCCACGTCTAACATGTCAACGCTACATCCACCAAACAACCACTCTACAATCCATCCAACATTCCAAAGAAACGAATCGATAATCGATCACCAAACACGGGAAACTAAAAAACTCGAAGAAATTCCACAAATGAACCACGCATTACAGCGTTACAATTCGAGAACACCGGGAACGTAGGGGACGATTGGTTTCGAGGGATACGATAGTAGACAAGCTAATTAGGTCGTTTTGATCAATAGCCGCGTCGCTGATAAAGGGGGAGAAAGAAAGACACCGGTCTCCGGAGAGTCGAACGGAAGCAGAGCTCGTTGAAATGCAGAGTCGCGGGTATATGGAGATCAAATGACAAGCAAAGGCCTGCCGAGGCTAGTATGAACAGCTTCTGAGAAAGAGGTACCAGTTTTGTTCCGTCTGTATCGGGTCGAAAAGGGGTTGGTCCCCCTTAACTCGCGTGGCGTGCGCGCCCACGCACAAACGAAAGGATACTGTTACGCCGCCCTCCTCCCCCCGTCCCCCGGAAAAGGGTGAAAATAATCGGTCGTTTGTCGGCGGAACGGAATTTCATTAACCGCGCGAGCGCGAGGACGCGTCGCGTCGCGTCGCGACGGTCGGTTCCGCGCGTACCGCCGGCCGGATTGATTTACGATCGGCGTAATAAAGAAGCTGATTAAGAATTCGCAGGTTCCGGTTACGGCGCGGCGGAACCCTCCGCGCCGCGAAATTGAAATCCCCTCGCTGGAAGTTCCGTCGGTAATTGACCCGTCTACGACTTCCCGTTTAATTAACGGACGTTGCGCAAGAACTCGAAGAATCCGACCGGCGCGTATCGAGTTCCCGCGCCGGCTTTTGGAAACGTCGGCTCCCAGCCATTTCCTTCGGAGTCACGAATCCTTCGTTCAGCCTTCGCGAGTTATTATGACTTCGTTACTGACACTTCTTCTCGCCAGTGATGTTATTTTATCGAATTTATTCGTTATTTGTTCGAATATTTGTGTAGGAATACGTATTGTGGGAATGGATGTATTTGAGTGTGTGAAGAGGTATATCGATGAATGTGTGTGCAATAGATGAATGACGTGTGTGAGCGTTTTGAATGAATGTCAAAGCATTGGAATATTAGATTATATTGATTTTCTCTGTATGTTGATAATGTTCGTTTTTTTATGAATCTAGAATATTCCAAATATGTGTGAAGTTAATGCATGGTAATGAGAGAATGTGATAGAAAGTGTGTGAGTGAGACGAGAGCCTGAGTATATAGTGTGTGCGTTTGATTCAGTTAGTGTTTTATTGTGAGTTGTCAAGAAATAATCATACTGTTTCTAATAAAATCCTCTTTCTCCTACAATATCGATGGTATATTTCGAGAAACCGTTGCTTCCGCTGTTCTCCCTTCGCAATTTACCAGATCGTCTTTTGTTCGAATCTTTTTAGATGCTTCTGTTAGTTCGTAACTCTTTCGCTGCCTTCGAATCTCGAAAGTTGCGATTCATTGGAAAGTTATGAAATATCCTTGAAAATGTAGAAGGGGCGACGCGATAAAAGCCAGCAAAGTGTTAAAGTACACGAAGCTGGCGACACATGAAACTAAATTCTACCTCGAATGCTTAAACAATAGAAAAAGAGGAAGCTATACATTGATCTCTTGCTATTCAAGTAATTAAATCATTCGTTTGCAACTTAGTATTCCGAATATGAACATTTCATCTCACCAAGATGTCGACGTTCGTCCGCAAAGGGTTAACATTTTCTAACAGGATATTTTTTTCATGAGGTCTATGTGAAGTCGCGAGTGAGCAACTAAGCTTTTCTATCGCCGATGGATTATACAGTTTAATACTGAATATCAAATTTTATAGTTGTATTGCATCAACTGGCGAAAAGAAGTCACGTGTACGTGACAGCGGCCGGTAAAGTGTTAACGCACCTTCGTCCGCAAAGCGTTAAATATCCTAACGTACCTCCGAGTGCGAAGTGTCAAAAATTAAGCCCATTGGAAGCCTAAACCACACTCCCATCAAACATCAATCTCAGATACACTCGTTCTAACTTAACGAAAAACAAACACGACTCCCCGACTCACCCTCCGATAAATCACCGAACCAGTCACCTGGTCGGAGAAGTCGGAAACGTCCGACGGAGGCCGTCGGGAAAGAAGATTAAGCTCGTTACCGCGGACAAGATTTGCCGGCGCGGATTATTTCGATCCGCAAGCAAAGGAGAGAAGGAAATAAAGGAAAAAAATAATAGTCAGCCGTATCCAAATTTTTACTCTCCCGATGATACTTGTCCAAATATTCAGGATATAAACATTGCACTGATTCTTCTCCTTGGAATCCATATGGATCTTTGCTTATGGATGATTGGCCTTTTCCAATGTTTTATAGAGAATGAGACAAGGATTGATATAAAATCTTGTTTCTGGAAACAATACACAGAATTTGGAAACTCAACACTCTAGACTGTGCGCACTAGAAATGGTCATTTATGTTTGCTGTTAATTCAGAAGTTTGCATTAAGCGTAATGATTTTAAATTGAACGTCGATCCAATATTGTATTGTGTACATTGGCCATTGGCACCATTAAACAAAGACGAAAATTCTATTGTATTAGTAACAGCTAGACTCGATGCATCTTCTATTTGATAGAGTATCACCTGGAGCAGAAAACGTGCTAAAGAAGGAAACGATCAATCGGAGGCGACGAACAACCGGAAGGAGAGAGGAGAGGAGCGCAGGTTTCGCCGAACACCGGCGTAATCCTAATTTACGAGGGGCAGTTTCAGTCGTCGTCCTTATTCTTCAAAGAGTAACGGAGAATATAAATAGCGTGCGCGCGCGCGCGCGCGCGGGGGGTTGAAATTACCTCGCTGCAACCGCCCCACTGCCAATTATTCGGCCGGCGTGTCCTGACCCGGTTGTCGCAGGAGCAATCGGTGAGCTCGCCCCTGGAACAGGCCCTGGTGACGCTGTAAGCGACCCCCGCCGCTGATATTGCATACACGAACGCTGCCTCGCGACTGTCTGCGAACATGCACCAGAAATTTTTTCGCTGCCGAGAAGTTTTTCTCATTTTCCCCGGGCCACCGACCTTTACGGCCGGAGACCGTGATTACGAAACAGAACGCAGACGGCGCTCACTATGCTCCCCCCTCCCCTGCCGTACCCTCTGTCGCTGTGGAGGAATTAGTTTTAATTAAAATTATTTCCGGGCTCAACATCGGAAAGGACTTCGGCGATCCTTGATAACGTTCGAAGTTACTGAGTTCTATGGAGATTCGTTTAGGTTGTTGGTAACGTTTATGGTTGGAGAACGAAGCTTTTGTTTTATTCAACTTGCTCGGGATTTCTTTGTTAATTATGTTTCAATTTCTTTGTTAACACTGAAACTACCGAGCAGATCAATTGACATTTTGAAATTTTTGTAGTGCATCTAGTGAAACTTCAAATGATTTACAATTCAGTTTGCGCATTACTAAATTAAATTCTCTAATAGTTTCTCAGAGAAACATTTGTTATCTTTCTAATAATTGCAATTGTATAGAAACTACAAGAGTGCATCTATTGAAACTTCAAATGATTTACAATTCAGTTTCTGCATATCAAAGAATTAATAATTCTTGCTTTGCTTCTTTCTATAGAAAGAACAAGTGATACGGAGTGAACGTGTCAACACATTGCATACTGACAACGAGAAATCTCGTGTTCATATAAAGACACTTAGCTATGCAATTTCGCTGATCATCATAGTACTTAAAAAAATATTAAATTTCATTCAAATTGATTATCTATTTAAAATACATTTAACAATATGATATCCGAATTTCTGTATGTATAGCGATATAAGCTGATCTCACTGAAAGTTTCTGAAAAACACTAGATTTATGGGCATTTATTCTATACTTTATTCTATTGTTCCTAGAGAACTACGCGTTCGTTTCTATAAATCGCGAAAATTCTAGCTTCAAAACCATATCGCAATGCGTATTCGCATAATTGCACGAATCAACTCAAACTATTACTAAATAATGTTTAAAAAATTCAATATCAAATTGACGGGTTCCGTAAAGCTAGTGTTAAGGATACACGTTATGCAAGAATATAGTTCCCTTCGCGGAGAAGTATTCCATCGAAGATTCCCGGCGAAAGCCTCGTCGATCGCGTTCCGCTTCGCCGATTGACGGGAGCTCCGACGTTATCAAGGATTCCGTCGAAGATTGGTAGGCGGAAGCCGCGTGTCTACTTACTGACTAGCATCACGCCGCCGAAAACGTTCTCCGGATTTTCCGGGCTAATGGAACAATTCCATCTGGCTGATCTAAACTGGTGCTGACACTCCTCTATGGCCAATCTCGCGCCCGCGCTGACTGCCTGAAAGTAAAGACCGTGAAAGCCGTGAATGGAAAGGAAAATTCTGCGCGGCGGGGAGACGGTTTACCGGTTTTTTTTTCTCTCTGTTAACCCCTTGCACTCGGCAGTTTTTCACTAGAAATATTCGAACGTTCGATGACGAGAATTTACATTAATTTTTCATTAGAAAACAATGACTATTCGTTGAGAAAAATATTCTCGAGTGCAAAGGGTTAACCTGTCCACCGCTTGACCTTTATCAAATAAATCACTGGTATCCAACGATATATATACAGGGTGGAAATTATAAAGCGTTACAGTTGAATATCTCCGAAAATATTGATTATACACAAAAATGTTTCAGACGAAAGTTGTTCAATACCGAGGGGACATCATGTGGTGGAAATTTTATTTTTCCTGGTGGACCCAAGGTGAGGTGAAGGTCAACTTTCTTTTTTCAAATGGAATGATACGTTTTTTATCCATCGACAAATAGTGCGTTTCAAGAAGAATTCGACGACCTATGGCTCAAGGTCATTCAAGGTGAAACTTGCAGGGAAATGTAGAAAAAGTGTGATCGTTTTATAGAATTCTATACAGTCTGTATATCGCTTCAAGATCGAGATTTATCATGGGGTTTCGTCACCGTCGTCGACGCGGAGAAAATGGCTGAACGATCGCGCGCCGAGGCGCATCCGCAATTACCAAGTTCGTGTGCCTAGTATATTCGGCCCACGGTTAATTGGCCCGGTGTCAGCCGGTAATTATAATATGTAATCGGTTTCCACTAACGGAACAATTATGCTAATAGCTATTTGAAATCAATGGTATCTCGGCCATTAATATTAATCACGGGCCGCGTACTTGTTACCCGATTCGGTAAACAGATACCTGTAGCTGCTGCTACCGATAATGACTGAGAAGCTAAACACCTGCGTATCTTCGCTCGATTGATCGGCTTCAATTGAAACATGGATATTCGAAGGAACATTTCTCTTTAACTCTTTGAACTCTGTAGGCTCCAATATTGCATCAATTATAATATTAAATATTTTAATGAATCAAAGAAACTACTCTAAAATTATTCGATTTTTCATAGATCCAAATTTCGTACTGAAAAGAAAAATAAAAGATCGAAGGAATGTTACAACATTTCTCATTTTCACTAGAGATATCATAAAAATTAGTTGCAGTTGCTGATAGATTACAAAACAACATGGAGTACTAAGGGTTAATGAATCAAAGGAACTATCCTAAAATTATTAGATTTTCTATTATTAATTATTAGATTTCTATTAAAAGACCGAAGGTATGTTATAGCGTTTTTCATTTTCGCTAGAAATACTATAAAAATTAGTTGCAGTTGCTGATAAATTACAAAACCATCTGGAGTGCTAAGGGTTAACCCTTTGAACTCTGTAGGCTCCAATATTGCACCAAGAATAATATCAGATATTTTAATGAATCTTAAAAAAAACGACCCTAAAATTATTCGATTTTCCGCACATCCAAATTTTGTACTGACAAGGAAAATAAAAGATCGAAGAAATGTTACAGCATTTCTAATTTTCGCTAGGAATACTATAAAAATTGCAGTTGCTGATAGATTACAAAACAACATGGAGTGCTAAGGGTTAATACATCGATTTCCCCAGATTCGTGATTTCGTACGGAGAAAACGAATGATTTCCAGGTGGCAAAGCAGGACGAGCCACTTTTACGTATTTATAGAACGTGTAATTTTCTATCTCGGAGATCTAGGTGGAGAGGTGTGTTTCCCAAACAACAAGAGACAACCAGGATTCCACGAGTCTACTCAAATTCCACTTCAAACATTCCACGGGGTCGTGCCTATAGAAATCGTCAGGTACTCCTTAATTGCTTTACTGCTTAACAGTACCTTAACAGTAGTACCTGACCTTAGCCTCGTATTTGCTGGAAGGAACACCGCGAGGGAAGACTTTATATACCTTAATTAAAGCTTGTTTGGATATTACATTCTTAATGAACGGAGATTACACAGACAGTGGCTACAGATCGTTTTAATGGGAAGGTAATTAATGTTCATGTAGCAATGTTAAGTGTTCCGAGAAGTGATCTGCTTATGTGAGGGCGTTTTAGAGATCTATGTGTATCAACTATTTTATTATAAAAATTTTTCAAATGTCTATCACGATGAACTGATGGTTTCATTGAACTTATCGCTTTCACCATGGACAACGTGGAATTCGCGTTCTAAATACCTTCTTCATTTAATATTCTATTAATTCCTATATTCTCCGATTAATTGAGGATAAATTAGTCTAGAAATCTTCATCACGAGTCTCACTCAAAAAAGAAAAGAACAATGGTACAAAACGTTACCCGATTCTAACGTGATCGTTGTCGCGATTCTTTCTCTCGGGGTTCAAGCGAACGATCCATCGATCGGGTAATGAGAATCAACAACAACACCGATCACTGTACGGCAAGGGGTTGAATATCGAAGTTTACAGTTTCGCTGCGTCGAATCGTTCGGTGACTTAGAGGCGCCTCCGGAGCGCAAAGGGTTAACCGTCGATCATTCGGCGCGCTACACGACGCTCGGGTCGAGCACCGGCATCTCATTGACCCCGTTCACGGTTCATTCAGAAGTCGGTGTTTCTGCTCGGCACTACGGTGTTTCCGTAACGGGGCGAGGACATAAAAACTAATGAAAGTACTCCGAAGATAGCGGACAACACGAAACTAACGAAAACGAGGGGGGAGCTTCGATCAACTTCAGGAACGCGAAGAATCGAACGCGACAATTATCTTCGAGTATGCTCCGTTTCTTTGAACCTCTGACCGTGGTCGAAAAGGAAAAGAAAGTAGAGACGACGCGTTGTTGAAAGAAACGGGAGAAACCCCTGGCCGATAGCGTGCTAACGTGAATCTAACCTAAACTAATAGAGACAAGGTGGAAACGTTCGACATCGTGCGAGTCGTTTATTCCGAAAGCGACCGAAGTCCATTGAAAAGGGAAAATAAAGATTGAGAACTGAAAAGAATGTAGGATTAAAATTATTATAAGCATTAACCCAATTTTGTTGGGAAATAAAGTGAAACTACTTTTGATGACCCTAAGATGAAATGTTCAGGTTTGGAACGACTAAGTCGTGGAAAAATGGCCTAATTAGTCGAACAGCAAGAGATCTACACGTAGTTATCTTTTGTTCTATTAATTAAGCAATTGATGTATAATTTAGCTTCGTATGTTGAAGGTTTTGTACGTTTCGAAGAATCTTCGTTCGCAAAGGGTTAATTTATGTTAAAAATAAACAAATAACATTTCAGTGTAAAACTATCATCACGAGTCTGACACGTTATTATAACACAAGTGGTTAATCGACAAAAGCACGCAGAGCGACAAGCAATATTTAATTCACGTTAAAAATCAACAAATGAACAAGCAACATTCAATTCACGTTAAAAATAAACAAATAAAATTTCAATGTAAAATTATCATCACGAGTCTGTCACGTTATTATAAAGCAAGGGGTTAATCGACAAAAGCACGCAGAGCGACAAGCAATATTTAATTCACGTTAAAAATCAACAAATAAACAATCAATATTCAATTCACGTTAAAAATAAACAAATAACATTCAATATAAAATTATCATCACGAGTATGACACGTTACTATAGCACAAAAGGGGTTACGCGACAGAAACACGCGGAACGCTCATTGAAATCGTTGGGTGGCACAGTGTTCCTTGTACAATTAACCCTTAACCGCCTGACAAGCGGACAGAAGAGAAAAAAGGAGGAAATGTTTGCTCCGGCGAGACCCTCGCGTAGGATGTTCGACGTTCGACGTATCCGGCTCGATCGTTCGGAATTAAAGCCCCGTGTGGGCCGGCGGATCTGCGCCGCTCGTTATGAATATTCATAGCCGGGTCTCTTTTGTCGGTAACCGGGACTCGGAAAAGCGAGGCCGGTCGGCGACGCTCAAAGGAGATATCGAGGCCCGGGGCCCACCGAGTTTACCTAGGCACCGGCCTCTAGACGCGCCCCGCAACCCCCGACCGCCCGCCCCTTCGAACAAGATTTGTGCATTAGGGAAAGGTAAACGCGATTTTTGGGGTACGTTTCACTTCGGCGCGTTGCTTGTTGCTTGTCCACGGTTTTACGGAAACGCTTCGCGTGTATTTTATTGCCTGCGATCGGAACTGGGTGTCCCAGAGAGAGGTGCGTCACGGGCAGGGGTGAACGCGAGCGACGTTACGGAATTCCTTCGGCGGAGGAATCTTTGAATTTCGGGGGTAAGGAATTTCTGCGATTCCGGGGGAATTGAGATTCTGGGAGTATGGGACTGGTAGCTTTGGAAAGTTTTGTAAGTTTCCACCCTTTGAACTCTGTGGGATCGAATGGTGCGATGGTTATAATATTAACCCTTTGCACTCGAGAGTTTCCCGATGGAAATATTCAACGTTTTTTGACGAGATATAGATCATATTGTTTGAAACTAATTTAATAGATAGATTTCATAGATTCTATTTCATAGATAGATTCCAGGAGATTGGTAGCTTTGGGAAGTTTTGTAAGTTTTGAAGCCTTTGAACCCTGTAGGCTCCAATATTGCAACAGTTGTAATATTAACTCTTTATACTCGAAAGGTGACTCTAAGTCACCAAATGATTTGACACAGCAAAACTGTAAAGTTTGATATTTAATATTAAACTTTGCATAATGCATCAATGTACGAAATATTGAAAGAAAATACTTCTCTTCCTCGATGCATGTGAGATTTCTTAATTGAATCTGAGAAAATGTCGTCTGTATCTCATTAGAAAGTATTGAATATTTCCATTGAGAAACTCTCGAATGCAAGGGGTTAAATATTTCAATGAATGTTAAAGAAACTACCCTAAAATTATTAAATTTTCTATACATCCAAATTTTTCACTGAGAAGGAAAATAGTTCAATATTGCATTTCAAGTTTGCCATAATAATTGTTATTATGTAGTTAGTTCGTAGCGTCGCCAACTGGATGGCAA